CAGAAAAATTAAAAAGACTTAATGCCTGTTGTGAAAAACTATACTGCTCTGGATGATAAAAAAACTTCAGTAGATAAAATAAATTTTACTGGAGAAACTATAAAACAAGTATTTTGGCAAACTTCTATAAATTATCAAAACCAAAGCTAAAAATACAAATAAATGGCATTGTGTTTGAAGGTTTACTAGACACATGCATGAATGTAACAATAATTTTACCAAAACTTTGGCATCTGAATTGGCCTCTTCAGGAGGTAAATATTCAGCTTCTAGGGATTGAAACTTTATCATAGGTAAAACAAAGTACAAGATGGGTTGGATATATAGGGCCAGAAGGACCAGTAGGGAAATTAAAGCCTTGTAACATGATAAATAAAAGACCCAGAGACTGATATTGGGGTTCAAGTTGAGGGTCAGACAAGCAAACAGCTATCCACTAGTTCTCACCTCTACCTCAGGCTGAAAGGGCTGTCCTGTCCTCAGTGTGGCTAGATAATAAATCTCTCCACCAAGCCTCAGACTGCAATCCCAGACTACTGCCTCTTCCTTTTATACCTCTCAAATCCTGGGATTAAAGGTGTGTGATCCCAAGTGCTGAGATCATCTTTGTGTGAGCTGTTTCTCTTTAAGACTGGATCAATTTCATGTAGCTCAGTGTGGCCTTGAACTAATAGAGATCCATCTGCTTGTTTCTTCAGTCCTGGGATTAAAGGTGTGTGCCACCACTGCCTGGCTCTATAGCTAGTTAGTATGGCTGCTGGGATTAAAGATGTATATCACCATTGCCTGACTCTATGACTTGTGGCTAGCTTTGCTTTCTGTACCTTCAGGCAAGCTTTAATAAATCATAAATAATATATCACCACAAAGCTATATATAGCTAGCATAACAATGAATTTGTGGGGACATGATTTGTTACGGCTATAAAAAAACAGATTTGTAGCGGCATCTAGCCTTGCCAGTGTTAGTGTTAGTGGCCACACCCCTTTGGGTGTGGCTTCAGGTGTGGATGGAACTGGCAAGAGGGAAGCATAAGGCAGTGCTCACTCTCTTGGGTCATGGATAGGACCGGAAGGGCAGAGAAAGGCTGTGGTGGTTCTTTATTATTATCTGTGTAAGTTGTTCCCCAATAAAACACCCATTTGTAATTTATCTTGGATCTAGTGAACTCATTATCCCTGCCTTCAATTGGTGCCAATGTAGCTGGATTCCCACCAGCAGTCCACATGGCTGGCCTAGTGGTCTAGAGGTTAAGATTCAGCGTTCTCACCACCTCAGTCTAGCTGGGTGGAATTCCACGAGCCAGAATCAACCACACCCAGCCTCACCGCATTCTGGTGGCCCATACCACCCTCAGCAATTTCAGAAACAAACCAAAAAGTAAGGTATGCTTCTGAGGAAAATATTAAAGGTATTATAAAGAATAGTCACTAACCATTCTGGTTGTACATAAGCAGGGCACAATAGTTGCTGATCTTTCAAAGGTAACAACAGCCTTATCTTTAAAATAGCTTACAAACCTGGAATACCAACATTCCTACCTTTAAAATGGTTAACTGACAAACCTATCTGAGTGAAACAATGGCCCTTGGCATCAGAAAACTTACAGGAATTAAACAGCTGGTACAGGAGCAGTTAAATGTGCAACATATTGAAGAATTGACCAGTCCTTGGAATTCTCCTATATTTGTCATTAAAAAGAAATGTGGAAAATGGAGACTGTTAACAGATTAATTAAGATGATTCAGCCAATTTTCCTCTTTACAGCCTGTAATTCCCTTGCCTTCTCTACTACCTAAAGGATGGTCTATTATACTAATTGATTTAAAAAACTGCTTTTTTTACTATACAAGTATAGAATAGAGAAAAATTTGCCTTCACAGTACCTTATAATAATTCCTCACCTGTTAAAATATATCAGTGATGTTGAACAGTTCTATCTTGTGTCTATATTTTATATAACAACTATTGGAAATAATTCATAAATAAACAGTTTCCTCAATCTTTAATTTATTGTTTTTGGGCCTGTCCTGGAACTTGCCCGAACAGGCTGGCCTTGAACTCACTGAGATCCGCCTGCCTCTGCCTCTCGAGTGCTGGGATTAAAGGCGTGCGCCACCAATGCCCGGCTATATTACCATATCTTATCGGGACTCAGATACCTTAGAAAAAATGTTTGAAGAGGTAAAGAAAATTTTGCCTTTTGGGGAATTACATATTGCTTCTGAACAAATACAGAGATATTATATTAATTACCTAGGATATAGGATAGACTTACAGAAAATTCTTCAACCACAGATAGCACAAATCAGGAGAGGCCAAAATGCAGAGAGAAAATAATATCTTTAAATGAATATTTTTACCACACAAACAGAGTAAAAAACTAAAGACCTGTTTGACAGGTTTCTGAATTGAGTCTGCAAGGGAAATTAAGACTTCATCAATTAGCAGAACAGACCCAACAGAAACTGTGGTACCTTTTAGTAATGCTTAAATTGCCTCATTATGGGCAGAAAAATGAACACTGGCAAAGGGCTTGCAGTAGCTTCTTGGGAGAGATTAGCAACAAATATCTCAAAAGCAAGAGATTTCAGTTTATAAAAAGAACTAATTGGATTCTTCCTCACATTATACAGGGAACACCGATTTCTAGAGCCCCTACATTCTATACTGATACAAACAAATCAGGAAAGGCAGGTTATCAGTTAGAAAATTTAAGTAAAGTGGCTCAAAGCCCCTATGATTCTGCTCAAAAGTCAGAATAATATGTTATTCTTCTATTACTAGATTTCCCCAAATCTCTTTAGTTATTGACTCTCAATATGCAGAAAGAGTTGTTTTACAGATTGAAACCACTGAAGTAATTTCAGATGATTCAGAATTAAGGTTTTATTTACTCAATTAGAAGAAATAATCATAACTAGAAATCATTCCTTGTATATAACACATATCAGATCTATACAGGTCTACCAGGCCCTCTATCACAAGGTAACGATGAAATTGATTAGCTATTGGTAGGAAATGTACTAGATACCTCAGAATTTCATAAGAAACACCATGGTAACAGCAGAGATTTGAAAAAAGATTTTCCCATCACTTGGCAACAAGCCAAGGAAATTATAAGGAAATGTCCTACTTGTTCTTTGTATAACCAAACTCCACAATCTTCAGGAAGTAACCAACAGGTACTCAAAGAAACAAAATTTGGCAAATGGATGTTTTTCATTTTGCAGAATTTGGAAAATTAAAGTATATGCACCATATCATAGATACAAATTCAGGACTTCAGTGGGCAACTGCTTTGAGTTTTGAAAAGGCTGATTCTGTAATTACACATTTTTTTTTTTTTTTTTGGCTTTTCAAGACAGGGTTTCTCTGTGTAGCTTTGGAACCTATCCTGGCCCTCACTCTGGGGCTAGCCTCAGAGACCACAGAGATCTGCCTGCCTCTGCCTCCTGAGTGCTGGGATTAAAGGCGTGTGCCACCAACCCCGGCTTGTAATTACACATTTATTAGAAGTTAAGGGCATTATGGGAATACCTGTACAAATTAAGACTGATAATGGTCAAGCATATGTCTCTAGTAAAATGAAACAGTTTTTTGAATATTATAACATAAAGCATATTACAGGTATAGCACATAATCCTACAGGATAAGCAGTTACAAAAAAATCCAAAAGATATGTTTAATAAACAGAAAAGGATAACAAAGAACCTCAGACATATATTAATTACACAATGCTTTATTAACTTTAACTTTTCTAAATTCCAATGAGAAAAGAATGACAGCTGCAGAGAGACATTGGATAACAGAAAAAAAAAAAAACTGCTGAATTAAGTCAGCCTGTATACTTTAAAGATGTGTTGACTTCACAATGGAAACTAGGTTTTGTATTATGTAAGGGAAGAGGTTTTGCTTTTGTTTCCACAAGAGAAGAAAAGCTATGAACACCATCAGAATTATAAAGATTAGAGTCAAACAGGAGAGACCTCTTGATTAGGAAAGGTGATACTTTTATCGAACAGCTTGGTCATTCAACCTAAACTAACTTACAAAATGCCTTTCATTTGATCAGATATAACCTGCCAAAAAAAATGAAACTCCCGTAAGTTAGGATTGGGGCAGGGTTTTTTTGTTTTTGTTTTTTATTTGTTTGTTTGTTGTCTTTCCAGGAGAATAAAAACATCCAACTAAGGGATCTGAAGAGCACTAGATATATGAGACATTTGAAGAAAAAGAACAAATCATCCAGAGAAAATGCCCCAAGAAAAAGAGTAAACTGGTCTAATGGTATAGCACATTTCCAACAGGATAAAATTCCATAAATCTTCACAAATGTTTGTTTCTGCTGTTCTCTATAGACATATAAGGCAAATGGTATTTTTTGTAGTCCCAATTCAACTAAAAATTAAAGCTGGGGCTGGAGAGATGGCTCAGAGGTTAAGAGCATTAACTGCTCTTCCAGGGGCCCTGAGTTCAATTCCCAGCAATCACATGGTGGCTCACAACCATCTATAATGAGATCTGGTGCCCTCTTCTGACCTGCAAGCAAATATGCAGACAGAACACTCTACATAATTAATAGAAAATAAATCAAAAACAATTTAAAAAATTAAAGCTGATTTTGGAGCTGGAGTGTGGCTCTCTCCTTTTTTTTTTTTAGCTCACAACACCGGCTTTAATGTTTATTTTGTTTTTAAATATGAAGCAGAAATGTAAAGTCTTAGAGGAATAGCAGAAAAGAAGTGACATTGATTTTGTTTTTTATACATTCCCCTCCTCCAGGCAGGTCTGCAAGGTCAGATCTCTAAAGCTGGGACGTGGAATTCGCTTCCATTCTCATAAGGGGACAGTTAAACATGCACAGCCCAGAGTAGAGTGTCCAGGATGGTTCTCCTTCCTCTCTTTGAATGCTGTGAACGTGAAAGGCGCCCGCTTTGCTAGGAACTCTACATCAATGTCCCAGGAGCCCCGGCGCTCTTCAGCCTCCTCTCAGAGGCTTAAAGGATGGCACAGAAGAATTTCTTCTCCCAAAAGGGGTTTTCTGAGGCTGGGACTGGGATCAGCAGAGGGTCCTTCTTGGCATGTGCCTCACAGTAGGCCATCAAGTCTGCAGCCGCCTTGGACACCTTTATCCTATCGATGTTGGCTTCCATCTTCAGCTGCTCTACTAGCTTCCTGGCTTGTGCTATGCTGGCGGTGTTGTTGCTGGCCATTGGAATGGGACAAAAGAAAACCAAAATTAAGGGGCTATTCTATTGTCACTAATCTTATAATCCCTTGGATTTATTTGGAAACTTTTCTTAAAACTTTTCTTAAAGTATAAATATTATCTCAAAATGTATATGATTATTATATATGTATATATTTGAACTTTCTATTGTAATATTAATGATCATATAGAGTACTAATTCTAAATTTAGGCTTCATCTATCTTCCTGTATATGATTTCAGGCTTGATTCTGAAGCAGGTAATTAGAAATTAAACCTGTGTATCCCAAGTGTATTTAGTAGATTATGGTCCTTTAACCCCTCTGAGATCTGCTGCATATAACATTTAAAATGTTTAAGTTTTTGGCAGTGAACCATGAACATTCCTAATACAGACTTTTGATGATGGGGCCCCACAACTACAGTTCCACCTGAATTGTGGTAATGCCACTAAGCTGACAAACACCATCCAAAGATCAGCTTTGGACTACAAACTGCTCAGGACTATTTCAAGGCAGTTAGCCAAGATGGTCCAGCCTCATAGAGTTCTACTCCAGCCAGGACTTCAGATAAGCTTTGCATTATCCCATCAAGAGCTAGCTCCCTCAGGACTTGACCATTATCTTCTCAGGGAGTAATTTTAAGAGCACAACACCCACATTCCCAAGAAATGCGGTGAATTGTTTTTAGTCTATAGGTGGTTTATGGATGTTTATCATTTTTAAAGATTTATTTATTTATTATGTATACAGTGTTCTGTCTGCATGCATGCCTGCATGCCAGACGAGGACATCGGATCTCATTATAGATGGCTGTGAGTCACCATGTGGGTGCTGGGATTTGAACCTGGGTCCTCTGGAATAGCAGCCAGTGCTCTTAACCACTGAGCCATCTCTCCAGCCCCAATGTTTATCATTGTTTAAGGGGGTCAATTACAAGTTGCTATTGGTATGGTCAGGGAGGAAACTAAACAAGGGAGGTTAAATTCAAAACTACCTTTCTGAAAAGTAAAAAGGGGGTATGGAAATGATAGGAGAAGAGGGTTTAATTATTAAATCCTCTTTAAACTGAAAAGCAACTATTAATCTCAGATATTTTACATTGGTATGGATTTTTGTATATTGATACAAATTTAAGGTAATTTTTGTTAGTATTTACTCTATATATGCTTCTAATCATACTTAAGATACTTTTGTATATTGATACAAATTGAAGGTTATTTTTGTTATACTGTATTATATGTTTCTGTTTCTTGTTTAAGGTATTGTACCTATGCAAATCATTTAAAAATGTAAAGTTCTAGTCCTTAAAAGCTGTTTAGGATAATAATGAAATACAGATTAGTTGTTAGTCATCTATAACAATCAAACTTATAGTCATGTCATGTACGTTCAAGGTCAATCAGACATACTTTAAATAGATAGATGGTCTTCAAACACTTCAGAGACCTACAGACTATAGAATTTAACATGTTTTAATAACATAGGGCTTTTCATGACAGTGAGATGCATCTGCTCCTGACAGCAACAATTTACTCCAAAAGAAGATGATGGACATCAAAGAACCCCCATATGTAATTTGCTTTCATTTGTGGCAAAGTTAGCCACTGGGCAAAGAAACTGCCCTTGCTTCAACTGCTGACAATATGCTGTCCAAATTGGACAAGTAGGACATAAAAGAAGGCAACTGCTGAACTTTGCCAAGACAAAGTAAGACAGTCCTTCAAAATTCCTGCTTTACAGAAAAGTCTTTCAGATATTCTAGACCTGTAGGCTGAAGATGGATGCCCTAAGGTTACAGAGGAACCTGAGTGATTGCCCAGGCAGCCAGCTGTTTCTGTCATTTCTCATAGTTTTGGAAGTTTCTTGGTCTGCACTTCCTGCTTACTCAGGTAATATTTTATCCTTCTCAGATCCTTGATGGGGTTGAAGACTAGATAATTATAGTTACAGCTTTCCTCAGTCATGATAGAAAGTGAATTTAGTGCACAGCTTTGAACTCATCAATAGAGGATTAGATAATGGAGTATTTTCTCTGAATTTGCCAAATACAAACGGACTGGACATTGTTAATGTAATTCTTACTTGATAATTGTTCTTATCATAAATAGTTTCATTAAAGTTAATGCCTTTCCTTTCTATTTAGACAATACCTGATAGTTGTTCTTATTGTATATAGTTTTATAATGTTAGAGTTAATACCTTTTCTTTTTATTTAGACAAAAAAGGGTAAAATGTTAGGGGAGCTCTTGTTTGTGTCAATGGTTCCAAGACCACCAATAAAGCCTACATTCAGAGAACAGAGTCCACATTCAACTGGCCAGGGTGAACTAAAGTTTCCTGGAGGACTCAGAGGGAGATAGAAGAACACACAGAGAAGGAAGAAGAGGGCCTGAGGGATTGTGTGGCCTTTGTGATCTGGGAAGTAGGGAGGGCCAGGACCATGTTATGGTTGCTCTATGGATCTCTCAGGTTTATTCCTTAATATTTATCCATGAGCTTCATTTTTTTAATACAATGATAAAAAGAATCTCAATATCAAATACTTCCTCCAAAGCGATAGAGATGATAAGTAGTGATAGAGCTCAGGACATAGCATCCTGAAGTACAGCAGTAGGAAACCACAGTATGCTGCTCCAAATATGCCTATTAGGCATAAGAACTCTTTGGGAAAACAGCAGACAGCTCTGAAAACAAGAGAAGTTCCCTGCTGTGAGAGACATCCATAGAATGTGGCATAGAGGAAGTCTGCATGGGTGAGTGTTCTTAATTTCTGCACCAGGAAGAAGGGAGGAGTGTTCAACAGAGACTCAGCATTAACAAACACTTGGCTTAAATCAGCCCAGCAAACTTGGCTCTGTCTGCCCTCTTTTCCTAACTATCTCCCTGTAACCAGACTTTCTCCACACCCTTCCTTCTGCTCCAGCAAACAAGGTGTTCAGCCCTGAAGTTTACACTATCCCTTTGACAGTTACCATATGATTTTACTTCCTTGAGTGTCTTTCCATGCCTGCAGGAGGGATATTGTTAATAAGTTTGTTGGTTTTTCTCTATTGGTTTGTCTTTCGTAACAGGGAATCTCCCACTAAGAACCATGGAGGATAGACAAAATTCTTACATCCTCCTCTACTAAGAGGCAAGCTATGGTTTGAATATAGGTTCTTTTTTGGTTTGGTTTGGTTTGGTTTGGTTTGGTTTGGTTTTGGTTTTTTGAGAGAGGGTTTCTCTGTGTAACAATCCTGGCTGTCCTGGAACTCACTCTGTAGACCAGGCTGTCCTTGAACTCACAGAGATCCACCTGCCTTGGCTTATCCTCCTGTGTACTGGGATTAAAGGCATGTGCCACCATCTCCCAGCTGCATATAGATTCTTATGCATTAGTTTGCCCAACCAACCTAGCCAAATATTCTTCTCTAATAAATAGAGTAAGTCCACACTACCCTAGCCAAAAAAAAAAAGAAAAAAGAAAAGAAAACCTCTCATCCCTTACACATTCTCAAATATTTAAACGTACTCAAAATAAGAAACCCACTGTTTCTCAAAATGGTTTTCATTATTAAATATCTTTAAATATTTAGAAAGTTCTTCATATTTAATTGAAATCTGCCTTTGTGTATCTTTCTACTCATTATTTCTGGTTTTCAACTCAGAGATATTATACGTTAAGCTTAATGTATTTCTATAGGAGCATGATTCAAAATATTTGAAGACAATTATTTTGTCTACTTTCAAAAAGATAACCAAATTATAATTAGTGTTTTAGAAACAGGCTGTAATCAGTATATAAACTGAAGCTTGATCTGGGTCCTCTGTTTTTTCTAATTACATTGTCATAGAAATTTCCTTCATTTCCATGATGACAAAAAGAGATTGGTTTTGGATTTTTTTTCATCATTGAAGGGAGGAAGGGAGAGAAAGTTTGAGAGAAAATATATGTGATGTATGTGTCAAGTGGCTTTGTTAGTTACTTTTCCATTGCTGTGATAAAACACATTGGTCAATGAAGGGCTCTAGCAGGCCCGATCATGGCAAACATGGTGCCAATGGGCTTTGCCTTTTACCTTTCTCCCCCTTGCTAAACAATTAGGTTACATTCCTAAAGCTAGCCACTTAGGTCTATTCCCCTATTTGGCCACTGCCTCATTTCTGAGACGGATCACCAAATTCCAACTATCAAAAAAGTCCAGCAATCAAAATTCATTATTTTGATTACCCTAATTAAGATTTCTAATTAGTACTTACCAACATATCGTGGCTCCTTTTCCCTCCTAAAATTGGTACTTGAAAAGCTATTTGCTGCTGTTTCTGCCCAATTCAGATTCAGTCACTTTGTCTCTTTACCTTGCTAAATGATGAATCTCTTTGTGTTTGGTTTGTGCTTGGAAACTGGGGTTTAGGTATGATCTGTGCCTAATCCATGGTCCAGAGGGAGCACCCCACAGCACTCTGATCCCTTCAGTCAAAGCTTATGGAAAGAAAAGTTCTGGGGGTCTTATGCTTCCAGAGGGGTAAGAATCCATACTTTTGTGTGTGAGGGGGAGATGTATTGCTTTAAAGATGCATGTATTAGCATTTTAGGTATATGAGTGTTTCACCTGCATGTATGCATGTATGTATGTATGTATGTATGTATGTATGTATGTATGTATGCATGTATGTGTACCTCATGCATGCCTGGTGCCCACAGTAGTCAGAAGACGGTATTGCAGTTATGGATGATTGTGAGACACTATGTGGTCCTCTTCGAGAGCAGAAAGTGGCTCACCACTGAGCCATCTCTCCAGCCCTGTGAGTGTGTCATGATGAGGACAGTGTGTCAGCAGGCTGCCAGAATCTGAGAGATGGCATCATTAACAGCAAGCACAAAGCAGAAAGAGTGAACTGGAAGTACAGTGAGCCTGTGAACTCTCAAAGCCCACCTCTAGTAAAAGACTCTCTCCAGCAAGGCCACACCTCCTAATCTCCTCAAACAGCACCACCAACTGGGAACAAAGTGCTCAAATGCC